TGCAGGATTATTTTACTGGTGTGCATCATAAGCATCTTTCAGCCACTTAGCATGGGAAGCTCCAGCGGCTGGTGGATGACATCACACTGTGCTTTCAGATCCACATCAACCTTATCATGAGATGACTGTGACAGATGTTGCTAAGCAACAACTTGTGAAAAAAGTGAATATCATTTCCTAGGTTTGTACTTTCTTGTTGGTCATGTTCAACTCAGCTTTGACAGCATGACCTCTTCTTTGGAAAGTGAAAGGAGGTTGTGTTGACTGCTTCATTCACTCGCCCCGTTCGGTCATGGCGCTCTCCCTGTCGGACACACCTCTTGGATCTTGTCCAAGAGGAACTTTCCCTGCTTCCTTCTGTGGTGTTACAAGAGGGGACTTCGTTAAGTCATGGCTTTCACTTGATCAAAGACGAACTGAAAGTTTAACCTACATTTCATCATCAGTGCTTTTTACCCAACGTACCTGAAGTAACTGGCACTATTGGGAGAACAATGACGTAACTCCCTGTGGTGTTTCAGTTTTCCACACACCTTAGTCTTTGTCTGAAGCCTGTTTGTGTGTCCTGCTAACAAACTGGAGTTTCCAGTTAGCACAGACGGCTTCACTCTGCAAATGCAAGTCTGTGAGAAACGTCATTAAAATGCTGTATATAGTCACAACATACCACTTTGTGTTCTGTTAGTTCTGTGATTTCACCTTTCTGATCAATGTGGTTTCACAGCTATATAAAGCCCTTATGAAACAACGCAGCCATTGGTGCACTTGGCATAAATGACAGTTTGTATGTCAAGTCATTTCCTTTAAGAGATGGTGCAATCTTGACAGATGGGCTGGAGAACATGGAAACCGATGTTCATTCAGGGATGTACGGTGTCCATTGCATGAAGCATTAAATCAGTCATGTAGTGTAATGAAGAGGAGTCCCTTCTATTGCAGCAGACAGTCACTCCTAACGTGGAATTCATCACTGTGCGTCTTGTTACTGATAAATGATAGTTGTGTGCATTGCTGCCATGTTGACACACCTGTGTCTTCCTCTCCCATCAGCTGACAACTGCTGAAAAACTATCAACCTGTAAATCATTCATGCTTCCTTTTGCCCATGACTGTATGCTGTCAGTGAGGCCAGCGTTCCCAGCCCAGGACTCGACACGTCACGCCCCACTGTGTCCATTAGGACTGTTGTTGTCTCCTAAATGGGAATCTGCTGGCAGCTGTCCTCTTCTGACTTCCTGTGGCCTGCAAAATGTATAAAAAAAGTGCTTTTGAGGTCTGCCTCAGTTTAAAGAGAGGAGCAGTGAAAGCATCTGGCCTCCCACACAGCATTGTCTAGATGGAGAGGGGGGGTGTGGGGCATGCTGCCATAGAAGCCCTGCAGTCATGCAGAAAGGGCCAAAGCAGTGGGGCAGCGATAAAGAAGCAGAGGCTGATAATGCACCACACATCTTGGTATCGACCCATATTCTTAACTTCTAGGTGTTTATTTTGTACTAAGCTGGATTTTAGTCTTCATATGCACGTTTGCCTTCACTGTCTGGGATGTGAATGAGTCAGCTGGGAAATATGTCTGAGTCACGTCACAGGCCTCCAAGGGAAACCGGAGCCTTAAGAGGCAAGTCCGTGGGCCGACCACACACCGACTCTCCCTGTGCATCAGGAGGACCAGAGATGAACCTCATCCCAGAGCCACAGTTCAGCCTCCTAGTTAACGAGGTTCTCACTATGGGTTGGTGTTGTCACATGGCAGTACTGCATCCAGACTTGAATATCCTCATGTAGTCAGTGAAACGTTACTGTTACAAGTTCTTTGTCCTTTTGCAGCAAACTGTCAGAAAACGGATTCCTGGACAGCACTTCCCCTTTGCTGCCTGCCGCCTCAGTTTCCTCACCATTCTGAGCACTTTAGGTCTAAATCCAGGGTGTTAAGGGCCACACTGGGTTGTGGCCTTATTCATCCCTGCTGTCCCCTTCTGTACATAATCTCATCTCCTCTCCTGACAGAGGTACAGGATATGTGGCATCATGTGCCAAGTTAACATTTGCACTGTGTTTGTTTCTCAGGGTTCTGAATGAGGGGAAGGAGCGTCTGATCCAGGGCTGTGAGGTCATCCAGGCCACACCGTATGGCCGCTGTGCCAACGTCAACAACAGCTCCGCCACCTCGCAGCGCATCTTCATCACCTTGCGCCGAGCACTGCCCGTCCAGCCACAGAACTCCCTGGCGGTGACGGACATCTGCGTCATCATCACCAGCAAGGGCGAGACGCCACCACACACCTTTTGCAAAGTGGACAAGAACCTCAACTGTGGCATGGTAGGTCAGATTGTCATGTCTGTTTGTGTCTTTGGCAGCATCACATCTAATAGAACAAAGGTGTAACGTGTGTGTGCCTTGTCCTGAACCTTCCAGTGGGGCTCCAGTGTGTTCCTGTGTTACAAAAAGTCAGTGTCTGCCTCCAATTCCATCAGTTTCAAAGCTGGTGAGTGAACGTCTGATATTGTCTCATGACTCACCGTGGAAATGTTGCATTTTGCTCATAATATCATCACGTCTTCAGCTGTCGGTGTCTCCTGTTCCAGTTCTTTGTCTCCCTGTTGTCATTTTATGGCTTTCATTGCTTATCACCATTATTAATGCAGCACTTGATTCATCAGCTTTTACCTCTGCTGCGTTTCAGATGAGTCATTTGATGGCTCACCTGCTACAGTTATCCCACCTGGTGCCATAGCTGCTGATGAGGACACTTACATTAGTGAATAGATCTGTCAGACATCTGTATTTCTAAACAGAAAACTGCTTGAAATAAAACATGGCTGCATTCATTTAGAACAGATTAGAATGTCGCAGTTACTTTAATGTTATTGTTCTGCACAGTAGACAGTAATTATTGGCTGTTATTAGGGATGTATGAAAAAGAATTAAGAAGAAATGAAAGCATCTCTAAAGGTCACTGTGTGTAGGGGTGGTTAGTGAGTATTGTCTGAAACAAAGAGGCCATAGTCGTGGACGCTCAGGAAAAGAAAAACGAAAATATTCTTGGTAAGTCAAACCTTTGAAACAACCAGGTAGTAAGTGAAGTATGTTCAGTAACGTGTTGACTCTGTATCTGATAACTATAATGATGACTTGTTAAAGCTGATGAGCTAGTGTGTGAGATTTTCATTCCTGTTTTTATTTAACCAGGAAGTCCCATTGACATTTTAAACCTCTTTTACAAGGGAGACCTGGCCAGAATGGCAGGATTTACAATACCACACAGCCACATAGTAACGTTACAGTCACGTAAAGAGGCAGCGACTACAACTTGTTTAAAATGCACTTTGAGCATTGCAGAGGAACATGAGACAGATGTCTTAAATTTGGTCGATGTGTCCAGTTCTCTCTGTAAATTGTTCCAAGTACTGGCAGCAGAGAAACTCTTTTCCATCTTCGTCTTAGCGCACAGACTTGTGAGCTGATATGTGTCCTGTGATCTTATTGTGGTTTGACAGAGAACTTCGAACGACGACATCGAGTTGAAATGTCGACTGACTTGCTCATAATTTCAACTTTCTTTGAGTATTTTTATTTTTGGCTGAAAACCGCCTCCGTACATGATGTTAATTGTTAAAAATGCTTTCTAGCAACAGTAGTAAATCTAAATGTTAGTAACTGTTTATTACAGTTTGGTGACTGAACCAGCATGGTCTTTGAAAGGGTCATTGTGCCACATGCGTATAATCAGTGTTGACATATACACACACCCATGCACGTCACACATTCTGGCTCTATCTTTTCTGGCCAGCGTTTTCCTGAGAAGCAGACAACGGCGCATCCTGCCCCGCCCATTATTTGTGAGTCTGTAGTCTAGTTTGTGTAAGCACAAGAATGCATGTGTCTTGTCAGAATGACGTCTCACCCGGCAACGGGTTGCACTGAGGAGCGGAACAATAACTTCCTGAAACAGACTGACTTTTGATCTGAAGTAGAGGAAACCGAGCTCCCTGTGTCTCAGAGACATGTGTTTAGTTCCTCCAGAGAAACAAAACCTGTCTAGGGGTTTAAGTTACTGTTGTATGTGGAGACTAGCACAGAAATAGTTAAAGTCCATCATTTTACAGCCATAATCAATGTTTCCTCTCACCCTCCAGGTCTAATCTTCCGTTATCCTGAGGAGGACTATGATTCTTTTCCTCTGTCAGAGTCGGTCCCTCTGTTTTGTCTGCCCATGGGTGCCAAGATCGAGTGCTGGGCACCAAACACACGTGATCCTCTGCCCGTCTTCTCCACGTTTGTCTTAACAATCTCTTCAGGTGAAAAGGTGAGAAGCAGCTCCCACGAACAAGCTGCCCAGTAGAGTTTTGTGAACTGCTTGGGTCCATCTAAAACTCCAGCCGGTCTCCTGAAGGCGTAGCTCACTGTGTTTGTCCATGTCTGGGTGCAGGTGTATGGATCAGCCATCCAGTTCTACGAGCCGTACCCGGTGGACCTGCTGAGCGAGAAGCAGAAGATCCAGCTGGGCCTGGTCACCATGGTGGAGAAGAAGATGATCCCCAACCGGCTGGTGAACACCAACAAATGCATCTGTCTGCTCTCCCGCTGGCCTTTCTTTGAGTCCTTCCGCAAGTTCCTGATGTTCCTCTACAAGCTGTCCGTCTCAGGCCCGCACCCGCTGCCTATTGAGAAGTAAGTATTCACTTGACTGTTTGTGTTGGGCACATAAAGCACTGTGTGGACGTCAAAGCTGACGTCTTGATATGTCTCCACAGGCACATCTCGCACTTCATGCACAATGTGTCATTTCCTTCCCCTCAAAGACCCAGAATCTTGGTCCAGGTGATTTTATTTCCTCCTTTTATTTTTTAATAAAAGCCAATACAACTATACCTTAATATGTGTATATTTCTATTTTGTTTCAGTATTATTGACATGACATTCTATTCCTCCAGCTCTCGGCACATGACACCTTGATCCTCTCCCAGCCCGTGTGCACACCTTTACCCCTCAGGTACACCGCGGTTTGCAGTGTTAACATAATGGTTCCTCTACAGAACAAACAGATGGTGACAAATGAAAGGAAAATCAAAACAAGCAGAGGTCACTGGTTATTCAGCCAGTGATTTTCTTCATTGTTTTATCTTTTTATTCACAGAATGTCAAACATTTGGAAAAAGTAGTTTCTTAATTGTCTTATTGTAACAAATCCAACGATATTCAGTGTATACACACACACATCGAGTTTCCATTTCAAGCTCAGTGTAGCTACTTTGTCTGAAAGCAAAACAGCTGAGCAGCCTGAAAGAAAACAACAGTGTATTGATCCGGGAAAAAACCAGACACATTCATTCATGTTGTATTTTACTTTATCCACTGCCACACTGCAAACTTCTGAAGGATGCCTAACTGTCACGTCGGTGTTAAAGCTACCACAGCCCGCCGGTTGCTGTTCAGCTTACTGTGACCTACTACTGCTGCTGTTGTGACAAACATGAATGTTGAGAGTTACAAAGGCTTTCAGTGGTCGCGTTAGATACAGTGTGATAGCGTGGGCAAACAGGGGAACGGCATTAGCAAACAAACTCTTGGCAACACTGACCAAATGACACTTAATGGGTTATGATCTTAACTTACAAATAACTGATTTCTAGTTAAAAGGTCATTTGAGCAACAATGCTCTTTGCTCCTTGTTCTCCTTTTACTTTCCTTTTTGGCGTCTGCCTGAACCTGTCGTTGTCCCTCCCTCCCAGTGGGGCAGACTACGGCACTCTGCTGATGAATCTGGGCTCGGACAACTGCGCCACTCTGCTGCACTTTGTCCTGCTCGAGAGCAAGATCCTGCTGCACTCGCTCCGGCCCGCTGTGCTCACCGGAGTGGCCGAGGCTGTGGTGGCTGTGAGTAGGAGCCCAGTTTCCTGGAGTCAGGCTTGAAATATACATCAGAGTTGTGAGCTCGGTTGGATTTTAGCAACAGCTGCGTAAATTGTCGCTTTTGGACACAGTCTGTGGTTGTAAAATAAGATTAAAGTATAGTAACGTCACAGAAAACTTACTATGACCTGTTTTCACAATGTAAAAATGAGCTGTAGGACAGGCAGAAATGTCTTTGGTGTCCCAGTTATAAAGTTAAGGTCCACTGTCTTTCCTGAGGTATAAGATGAGACGTGAAGTCTCACACACTAACATCCCCATGGCATTAAAATAGGTGGCTAGAAGTTCATTTAAATCCTTTTTAGGTGCTTACATTAAGCCATTAACAGCCAGACCTTCACTTCACTGATGTGCAGTTCTGTTTCTGTGGGAATGAAAGAATAACATTGTCAGTAAACAGATCCTCTGTTTTGCATAAAGTCCTCTAATAACGGTGGCCAAGACCCAACTGTTTACTTTAAGAGTATCTTTGCTACTGTCTTGGTGTATAATTATGGATGAAGCTTTCTTCTGGGATTAACCAGCTGTAGGGAGGAAAAGACGTCATGCAAAAATAAAAGCATTAATTATGAGACAAACACGGCTTGTTTCAGAGTCATTCAGCTGTATGTTAGGATGAACCCTCAGTTTCCACCTTAACCAAGTGAAGTCATTATGAATTAGTGGCTAAACATCCATCCATCTACCCCTGATCTGTATATACCTTTAATCCTGAAGAGGGTCATCAGGGCCGGGGCCAGTCCCAGTGACAATGATCACGACGTGTTTTATCAGCTTAGAAATATTGTGTTTGTTGTTATTTGTGACTTTTGTGAAGATCAGGTCACTTTTCCTGACCAAAACCAGGAAACTACAAACAGTGCCATTAGTTTTTTCTTGCGACTGTAGTACCACCAAGTACTGCTTGGTTGTGTTGACCCTGCTTCTCCCACTTGTCTCTCCTCAGATGATCTTCCCCTTTCAGTGGCAGTGTCCCTACATCCCCCTGTGTCCACTCTCTCTGGCAGGCGTCCTCAACGCTCCTTGTCCATTCATAGTGGGCGTGGACTCCCGCTACTTTGACCTTTACGACCCCCCGCCGGATGTCGTCTGCGTGGACCTGGACACCAGCACTATCTACCTGTATGCTCTGACACTAAAGCCACGTGACCACCTGCCTTGTGCCGCACATTCACAGCTCACAGCTGATAAACCAAGAGCACACATCATGTTTTGGTGCAGGTCTCTTGCTATTTTCAGCTAAATAACTCCGTTGTGTTGTGTGTTACAGGTCTGATGACAAGAGACACAGCAACTGGAAGAACCTGCCAAAGAAACCATGCAAGAGTCTCATCAACTCACTGAGCAGCCTGCGCCACCAGCTGACCACTGGTATGAACAGCAGCTAAAAAGTAAAGCAGAAAGTGGTAGGAGTGGACAAAAAACCAGGAACACCTTGAAATATCATGTATTTAAATGTAACAATGGCCACAGAGCTAAATGTTTAATCTAAAACCACTTTCATCGAGGTTGCAGTACTAGCAGGGCTGCTGTAATAGATTACGTTGTATGTACTATTTTTATATGTAAAAATAAAATAATATTATTCATTAAAATAAGGTAAACATAAAGCATAAAACGAACTATTAAAAGAAACTCCAGTGTAAAATAAAAGTTAGCTCTTTTTAACCAATAAAAGCTTAAAGCTCTATTTCTTTTTACAACTTTATTTTAAAATCATAAACATCTGTTATTTCTGACTTGTCTATAACCTTTTGCACCAGTTTGTCAGTTTAAGACTCCATAGTTACAGTGTTAATCAAAGGAGTCTTTAATAAATTTGACCTTTTGTTTGTGTTTTAGTTTCAGCGCATCAAACGACACAAGAGGTCTCAGCGGTGGACATGACCCCCATCGAGGCCGACTTCACCTGGCACAAGAAGAAGACAGCCCTGGAGATGGAAATCCAGGAGGCCTTTCTACGCTTCATGGCTTCCATCCTGAAGGGCTACCGCTGCTACCTCAAACCCATCACCCAGGCGCCCTCTGAAAAGGCCACGGCCGCAGACTCCCTCTACGACCTGCAAGGTAAACACGAACGTTATGTGGAAGGACACGCAGCTTATAGGCAGCCTGATGCTGTGGGACCTGATTGGTGGCAGCTTCTTGGCTTTGTCGCTCATCCATAATTTACAGCCTGAATACAGATAGCTTCACCCAGTGCTTAATTTTATTGGCGTTGCTATTCAGGGAGCATCGGAGGAGTCACTATTGTCAGAAATCAATCACGTGTCTCATCGGCTATGATAAGAGTTCACTAATGCTTGTTGCTTCGTTTAGCTTCACTGTTTTTTCAGGTTTCAGTAGAGAGAGTGAAAGAAAAAGCTCCTAACTGCATATTTTACCATGTTTCCAAATAGCGGCACGTTGATCTGTTGAAGGTTTCTCAGGAACAATAAATGCATTGAATCCTAAAGGAGAACCCTGAGATTCAAATGTGTTTTTACAGTTTTCTCTTTTAAATGAATACAAACAGTTAAATCCTTCAGGTTCTTTATATTAGTAAAATGCAAAGTCAAGAAAGACAGCAGATTTCAGCCAGCTTTAGAAACGATACCACACACTTCCATGCCTTCCTACAGGGTTTCTCAGAAGCAGAGACCGCGCCCACCAGAAGTTTTACTCCCAGCTCACCAAGACGCAGATCTTCATCCGCTTCATCGAGGAGTGCACCTTCGTCAGCGACAAGGACACCGGGTTGGCCTTTTTTGACGACTGCGTCGAGAAGGTGATTGTCAGTCCAGACTCCAGTCTTATGTTTTCTTTTTGTTCTTCCTGCCGAGGTTTTTCCACAAACAAGCCTTTGTTTTATGTTGTTTCACTTGTCTGCTGGAAAACTAAGGAAGCCATGATTTCCTCTGATTCATTCTGTTGCCTTTGCTCTGTTTTTTATTCTTGCAGCTTTTTCCCTCTGATAAAATCACAGACAAGGGCACCAAGGTAATCGCTTACACTCGCACCTTGTTTTTTATGTTTGATTAAAGATTTGATAAGACACCTCCACTTTCTCATTTTGATAAATGCATTCCAAAGGGAGTGTGGAAGTTTCCTCCTGCTTTTCTAACCTCAATCAAATCAGCAGCTTTGACCACCTACCTGGAAATTGTGATATGCTTGTAGTTGTTTACTTCTCTGCAGTCAGTCAGTCAGGAACTGGCCGGCAGACCGTGCTGTTTCTAAAGCTCAAGACAGCGTTGAGTATCACTAATGCTCTGGATGTGATCCTCGCTGCAGGTTGAAGGAGAGTCGTCTGAGGATACGAGACTGTTGGAGCTGGACGAGTCTCAAAAGAGTGAACACACCGTCTTTGTCATGCCCCCCGAACCCCCAGCTAACAACGGACCTGAGCCTGCTTCGCAATACACGTATGTCTTGTTCAGCTGTGGTGGATAAAAACTTCGCTATATAAGAAACAGTGTGACAGTGTTAACCGTCCTGTGTTGGAGTATTTAAGTGTTTTCAGTTAAACTCTTGTTTCTCGCTGCACAGCTATAAAGGTTTTCCCAGACTGCAGATAGATCTGTTTGACCGTCAAAGAGCGTTACGGCCAGCGCTGAGCAGCAGAGCAGCAGGGGCCAGCCTGTCCAGCAGCCCTGCCCTGCTGGGGAAGAGGACGAAGCAGGTGTGTACATGCTCGCACGGTCACTCTTAGCAGCAGCAGTAACCTTCTCCTAGCACAGGATAAGGGCCGGGTGGTGGCGTGACTTTAACCTGTGGGTAAACTGAACCGTCTGCACCATCTAACAGGAAATTAAGCTCGCCTACAAGATGGCAAAGCGTTTCTACTCGAACCCACCGCTGTGGGGCCGCTGTCTCTTCAGCCACTGCTACAGCATATGGTTCATCTGCCTGCCAGCAGGAGTGCGACTGGCCAAGTCAAAGAGCCGCGCCATGCAGCAGGCCTACAACGTCCTCTTGAAGATGAGGACCACTGAGGTGGAGGCGCTGGATGAGGTACAGTCACATGATGTATGAGAGATATCTGGGCCTTTTTAAATCCAAGGCTAATGAATGTTTCCATTTCTCTGCTTTTAGGTATGTTACCGGGTGGTGATGCAGCTGTGTGGTGTGTGGCAGCTTCCGGTTATGGCTGTCCGAGTCCTGGTTGAGATGAAGAAGGCTGGAATACAGCCCAACGCCATCACGTATGGCTACTACAACAAGGTAAACCAATTTCTAGTGTGCAGAAGGCTCACCTGCACGCTTAAAGGATTCAGTTTGACAGATGATCTGTTTGCTCTGCAGGCTATCTTAGAGAGTCCATGGCCGAGCCGAAACCGCAGCGGCCTCTTTATGTGGACCAAGGTTCGGAATGTGCTTCGAGGAGTGGCCCAGTTCAAGCACGCCCTGCACCGTACATCTTCCAAGAAGGGACCCACACTTGGTACCACAGGTGAGAATGCTACAGTATGATAGGGCTGCAGAATGGGATGCATATCTGAATTTGTTTTTTTGTTTTTGTTTTTTTGCAGCAGTCTGTTTCCTTGTTGTCTTACTCACGTTTTTCTTTCTGTGTCTTTACATGGATCCATCAGTAGGAGGGTCAGCAGTCACTGACACAGACCATTTGAGTCATGGAAGTGCTGACAGCTCCAGTGAGGTCAATGGTGAGGAACATAACCTGTTTGCCCACAGTCACAGTATGGGAGATGCAACAGACAACCACTGTAGTACAGGTACTGACTCCCCAAAGCTGCACATCTCAAACTGTAAAACCTGAGAGTCAGAAATGACAGATGTCTTTATCAGTAGCTTAATAATGGAGTGAGCTTGTAAAAACTAAAGAAAAACATGTTTCCTTTGATCATATCTTGTTTAAAAGTAGACTTTTGTGAATAAACTGATTTGTGTGACTGTGCGATCCACAGAAAAGCAGTCTGATCAAGGCTATGGCTCCAAGGATGAGATACACCAGGAGCTGACTGAGCCTTTACTCCCAGCTGTCCTGTCCACTGAAGACAGAAACAAGGCGAAAACAGAGCATCATGGTAAGAGGAGCTGTTTCTGTTCTCATACGCTGCACGTGCACAAAACCTCCATGTTCTTCTTGTACACTAATGTTGATGTGTTGACTCTGCACTACTGTATATACCCAGGAGGCGACAGTGTTGGCTCAGGGGACTGTGACGGAGCAGTAGCAGAACCCTCCAGTCCTGCTGATGTGCTCCCATCTGTTCCTAGTATTGTGAAGCTGTCTACAGGGAGCTTTGATGGTGAAACAGGTGAGGAGGAAGAGGAGGTCTGAGTGAAGTGGTTCAGCTTTAAGTTTAATTACTGCAAATTAAATCACACATTCTCCTACATGTACATATTCTACAGGTACAGGGAAGCTGTTCAGGAGACACAGCAAGAACGACAGTGCGCCCTTCCCTGATGACGACGCCTCGCTAGCAGCAGGAGATGGAACCAGCCAGCCCCAGCAGCAGCCTTTGCTGAAGAAGTCCTTTGCTGAACGCAGCTGTAGCTTCAGTGCCGAGAGCCGGGCTAGAATGCTCCAAGAGAAAGGTGTGGACCACATGGCCAGCCAGATGGGAGCTGATGCTCGTATCCTGGCTGCAGCACTCTCTGGTGGCCAAAGCCCAACCCCCAGAAGTGTGCCCACAGCACTTAAAGACCTGGAGGAGGAGCCTGAAAAGGACCTGACACTTGGGAAGCTACCAGAGGAAGAGAGGCCACGACAAGAAGGGAAGCGAGATACTAAAGCCGTGGAGGGGACTGAGGTGAAAATGGAGGTTCAGGACAGGAAGCCCACTGAACCACAAGAGGATGAGTCTGGCATGCGAGGTGCGAACCTGGAGAGGGCGGACGTGGAAGTGGGTGCCGACCCACTTTCTCTCCTGGTGTCAGAGAGCGAAGAGTCAGCCTCTGTCACCAGTCAGGAGCCTGCACGCTCCATGCCGGCAGTGGTGTCCCGCAACCTGGCAGAGGAGATTGAAATGTATATGAGCCTGCGAAGCCCCCTGGGGGTCAAGTCCTCCAGCATGGAGCTCCAGCAGACCCTAGGAGACTCCACAGATGCCCCACAGCCCACACAGACTGTGGAGCGGAGGTCCAGCCTCCCTGTGCCTCAGGTTAAAACTCCAGCCAGCTCTCCACATGATACCCCCAAACGCACTCCCCCGACTGTTACTCGCTCTAAGACCTTTGCTGCAAAGACAAAGACCCCCTCCAGTACCACGGCTAGCCCAGGTGCTCGATCATCCTCACTGACAGCGCTGGTCAAATCCTCACAGGGAGGCTCTCTGGGCTCAGTCATCAACACTATTTCAGGCATCAAGATGGACACCCTGTTGTCAGGACCTAAGATTGATGTGCTAAAGTCTGGCATGAAGCAGGCGGCAAATGTGGCCAGCAAAATGTGGGGGGCAGTGGCATCAGCGTACTCCTACTCAGATGATGAGGTGAGCATTGCTACAATTGTTGTTAGGATATTTGAAACATAGAGGTGATGCTCATCGTTTGTGGCTCACAGAAAGCACCTGAACACAGTTTTTAAACTGCAGTGAAGATGTAAACAAGAGCAGTAACTTTTCTCTGCAGGATGAGCAACCTCAGGGCGATGGTGGCTTCCCAGCTCATCTGGATGAACACGTGTTAGCTGAACATGACATAGATGAGAGTCATGAAAGGGGGGGCATCCCAGGTTTGGTGGCCAACGGTCTGAACCAGAGCTGCACCAGCCTGGGCAGCAGCAGTGGCAGCAGTGACACGGGCCGAGGGACCCACCAGACCTGTAAGCAGTATGAATATGTGAGGAAGTGGAAAGGAAGGGGCTTTGTGAGGTCAGCAGGTGAGTGCCGTCAGCCATCAAAGCCTGGTTTTGTCTTTATCTGCAGACCCAGCTCTAGCACGAGCAGGCAGGGGCCCCGACTCTGAGCAGAGCTCCTCACATCACGCTTCCTCCTCAAGCATCTTCCAGAACTGTGCACTGGAGGTCAGACATGACTGACACAAACAACCACTGCGGTGCTGCTGTGCATGCATTACCAACAAGTCCAGTGAGTAACTGGGGGGTTGTGTTTCCCTGCTGACAGGTGCTGATGTCCAGCTGCTCTCAGTGCCGCTCCTGTGAGGCTCTAGTGTACGACGAGGAGATCATGGCGGGCTGGACGGCCGACGACTCCAACCTCAATACCAGCTGTCCTTTCTGTTGCACAGCCTTCCTTCCCTTATTGCACGTCGAGTTTCATGACATGCGCACAGTAACTGGGTAGGGATCTGTTGCCTTGTGTGTCATTGCTTTTCCTGTTTTATTTTAAAGTGGTGTCGCAGCTCTCCTCTTCTCTCACTCTGTCACCCTGCTCGTCTCTGTCAGATAAAGATGATTTATAAAGTTTCCTCTTAAGTTGAAAAAACTGTTCCTAAGAAATGCAGATTGATTCTCCTCCTTTCAGGTTCTACATGAATCCCAGTGCCTCAGGAGACAGTATCCACGGCAGCAGTAACCAGCCCACTGCCAGCAGTTCAGCTGACATTAAGACACCAGATCTTATCACTTTCCCTGAAGAGGAACCTAAGACAACTCCAGAAAACCACTCTGGACCACAGAAGAGGTAGACGCCAAACAGATGTGGACAAAAATGATGATGTTTTTGAGAATAGACTGAATCTGCTCCAAGAATCAAACTGTGTGAGTCTTTGCCTTTTGTGTTTCTAGTCTGATTCCAGAGCCGGTGCAGTCTGACCCCCTGGGCCTCCTGGAGCACCAGGCAGCAGGGAAGCAGCAGCGATGCAGCGGGACATCGCTGACGCGCAGCAACAGCGTTGGAGGTCCCCTGCAGAGCCTGGACTACTCCCAGAGACCTGGACATGCCGTCTCCACCACCAGCCTGCCCTGCAGCCTGCAAGAGGTGTCGGTCAGTGCCACATGTTTCTATAATCTTACCCCCGCCGCTGTTAAATACTGCAGTGAAATTCAATGAGTGTGTGTGTGTGTGTGTGTGTGCGTGTGTCAGGATGGCATAGGTACCAAACGCCCGAACCCCAAGCCCGTGTCTGTACCGTACCTTAGCCCCTTGGTGCTGCGCAAGGAGCTGGAGACCCTGCTGGAGAACGAGGGGGATCAGGTAGTACTCCCATTACCCACTTACTGTGACAGCGTGCAGGCGGCCACACATCTGACAACGTCTCAGATGTTTGGCCGCCTGTCTCATTCCACCTTGTCTTGGTCCATCCAGGTGATCTACACCCACAAGTTCCTCAGCCAGCACCCCATCATCTTCTGGAACCTAGTGTGGTATTTCCGTCGCTTGGACCTGCCCACTCACTTACCTGGTCTCATTCTCACCTCTGAACACTGCAACAATGGAGTACAGGTTGGGGGCTTGTTTCTTAGTCCTACAAGCCTGATGGAGCAAGCTCATGCTTCCCCACACAGTATCTTTTTAAATACAGCTGTTAGTTACATAGTACCATACTGGCAGTGTTGTAACTATAAGGTTTACGTTTGCAGCTGCCCCTGACGTCACTGTCCCAGGACAGTAAGCTGGTGTATGTCCAGCTCCTGTGGGACAACATCAACCTGCACCAGGAGCCTGGAGATCCCCTCTACCTGCTGTGGAGGAGCTTGTGTAAGTGCACGCACACACACACATCTCAGCCCTGGTGACACTTAAAATGGCGCACACTCAGAGCCGCTGTGTGTGGAATTAGCATGTTGGTATAGCATCTTTTAACTTAATTCTAATAGCAGTTTTTATTTTAAGGAAACCAAAGTCAACAATTCTAAAACCATACATGTATTATTCAGTGGAAAACAACCTTCATTAACTTGTTCTGCATGGTTTATAAAGTAAAGATGTCTGCCAGTGTTGATGTATGCTTGTAATCCTCAGTGTTTTACTCAGATAAACAGTCACTCAGATTGTGGCAAGAAAGGTTCATGAACTTGTTGCAATACCATCATTGACCAGAAGAGGTCAGACGTAGGTTAGGTACCTAAAGGATGTGACACTACAGCAGGCATTCTGATGGTGTGTGTGTGTGTGTGATTCCCAGTGGAGAAGAAGGGGACTTTGGCACCAACAGACCACCAGGAGATTCGAACTCTGCTCAACACGATTGTCCGCAACATCCAGACCAACGACGTCTACGGACCAATCAACCTGTTGATCCGAGAGCTCAAACGGCGCCCAGAAGGGGTCAAGCGACAGAGGTGAGTCCTGTCCTTCCTGTTTACTTTTTTGGTTCAAGGTTTATCTGCAGTGTTTTCTACTCATTTAGTGTCAATGAAAACACACCTCATGTCTCATTTATGTGTTCTCTCAGGAGTATCTATAGAGAAATACTGTTCCTTTCACTGGTGGCCTTGGGACGGGAGAACATCGATGTCGGTGAGTGAGAGTACTTTAACAAATGTGCAAATGGTTTTGCATTTCTCACGGTCTCTAAAAAGTAAAAAAAAAGAAAGTGATAAATCTTCCCAGACATGAGAGACACCCTCACATCCAGTCCCTCTGACTCTGGGACGTGTCCCTCCCTCTCTTGTGTACCTGCAGAGGCCTTCGACAGGGAGTACCAACTGGCATACAAGGAGCTCAGCCCTGAGCAGCTCAAGTCTTTGCACCGTATCGACCAACCGCCCACCCCCAGCGTCCAGTGGTGCCTTAAATGTTTTGGAAGCCCCTTCATCTGACCACCTGCAGCAAGGAGACTAAATCTGACTGGACACAGGAGGACAGACGGAAGGAAGTAGTGGCTGGTGGCCTGGGCTGTGAACGGAAAAGGTTTCTAGTGAAGCACCTCCAGTTGCACAAACATGGTACTTCTTCTTCCCCTGTCCTGGAAGATACCCTCGGTCTGCTTTGCTACAACCTCCATATGCTGTTCATAGTTTTTTCCAGGCAGCTCTCTGCAGGTTTGTCACCTGCAGAGAGCTGCAGTGACTCTTTGGGGACTAGTCGAGGTGAGTTTCTTTACAGATGGTGTATAGAAGGAGTCATCCCTGTGGTGGAGATGTTTCTGTGTTTCCTGTCTCTTAGGCTTTTGCCCACTTTGCCTAAATGTGTCCTAACTCTCCTCAGATGAGATCAGTTGTTTGCGACTGTGTACAGACCCTGATTGTTCCCACGTGCACTTTTCTTAAAAAGAAAAAAGTAACTCGTGTCCACCTGTGTTTTTGTACATAGGATTTTTTTTTTTTTGGTTTTTTTACTTGGAGGAAATCTGAACCCAGAGTTGCCCATGTTTTTCAGAGGCAGCGAGTCTCGATGCCTTGACTGTTTGTGTCTTAATGAATATTTCATTTTGCATGCACAGGTTCAGAGTGAGGCTCTGTGTACGTATGTGTGGCATGTAAATGGGAAAATGCTGTCAATGACAATCACTAACTATATCAATCACTAAAACTGCTTCTCAACATTCCTCATGCCCTGCAGTCCACTGTAGCTTTAAACGCAGCCATCATGTGGGAAGGTGTGCGCCACCGACTCCCATACGCTGTCAGGGAAGACAAACGGCAGTGTCACACTCATCAGTCCAGCTTCTGGTTTTAATAACTGCATTTTTAACAGTAACCTTCTGTATGTGTTCAGCTAACATGCCTTATTGTTAGGATACATTAGAACTGCTTACTCTAGCATAGAATGAACCATTAGGGGGTTTTAAATTGGGTACAGGATGGCTTTTTATGGTTTACACACAGTAGCTTTGACTTACAAAGGGTTTCTTCAGGACTGGTGATGCTGTGTCAGGAAGAAAGCCTTTGACGTGACGTTCAACTCAATGAAACGGCCAAAACAGGTGAAGCACTGTGATCGACAGTTGGGAAATGGGTGTAGATAGTCCTGTTGTAGACTAGGGAGAGTGATGCTGACTTGTACAGATGACATAATGTTGTAAAATATTGAATTTGCACAGATTACAACCTAACCCAGGGTGAGGATGAGCTGAGACCACCTCAGACTATTAACATACAGTAGTTGTTCCTCCAAAACAAAAAGAAAATCCTGATTATTTATTTTTGTATTCTTGAAAAAGATTGCAAACAGTGTAGTAACTTTAGTAATGCATTTTTATTACTAACAGTGCCCTGTTCCCACCACGTACTGACTAAATATGCCCCCCTTATGGCAGAGGATGTACAGAAGAGACTGTTCTTTAACAATAGATTAAATGATCTTAGTCCTGTGGGAAGGAATTGAATGTCTACACTTAAGCTCGCTGCAATAAATGAGTTCGTGAACTGATTGAAAACAAAATGTGTGTTGTTGGGGATTTGTGTTATGGTCAGATTTGACAGCCTGCAGCATGTCGCAGGTCTGACACCATTCTCTTTTTCACCATTCACATGAAACCTTTGACACGTTCACCTACCTGTCATAGGTTTTGCCTAAATGAACAGTGAGTGTGAGTCTCACCTGTCACTGTCAGCACGTTTTACTGGATTTACAACACTTTTATTCAGCTCAAACAAAATGAATATATTATTTATGTGCCTTAAATAATGGTCAGTCCAACACCAGCTATGAGACTGATCTGCTTTTACGGTTTCCAGGTGAAAAAGGTTTCCAGAGGTTACTCAAAGGTCTGCCTGGGCTTTTGATAAAAAAGTATCCTTCCGCTGATGGCAGAACCGCATCACTGAGTTTGCAGTACGCGCACGAATATCGTCATTATAAAGGTGCACTGTCAGGTGTGTGTGTTTTGTGGTGAAGAGCTGAGGTGTTGGGGCAGGTGAAGGTCGGGGAACGTCTGAAGACAAGATGCCGGTGAGGCGGATTAGAAACGCGGGAAGTGCCCAGGATAAAGAGCAGCAGAGCCGGGAACTGCGGAAGGCCACACTGGCGCTTTTCATCCAGCAGTTTGAAAAAGAAGGTCTGAGCTGTTCCCCGTCCTCTGGCTCCCGTTTCACCGTCCTCAACGTGCTCACCTGTTTTCCCTTTGCAGCGGAATAGCGCATGAAAGAGCTGGAGGCCAGACTGGAGAACACGTTGGCCACAGTGGACAAAGTGTTTCAGGTGGAGCTGATGAAGATGCCGCCTCCTCTTCGGAGCGCGCGCATTGGGGATTTAATTAGCGGTGAGTCCTCGGTTTATTCTTTGCCAGCCGTGATTTATAGCTCGTTAATTCTTCTGGGACTCATTCATCTATTAAACTGTCTTTTGCGTCAGAGGAGGAGATCTCTGCCAGTGAGGTGTCAATCGCCTTGAAGGTGAGTGCACGTAGGTTGACACGCCTGCGCACATCTACAGGTGTCTGTGTGGCCGGGTCTAATTTTCGTCTCTTGCAGAATGAGTGTCCCGAGATGCACCGGCCCCTGAAGAGGGTACCCAGTAAACGAGGTGCATGGCTCTTTTAGTAAACTAAACTAATTAACGGTTTGTCTCGACCATGAAACGCACAGTTTAAAACTGGAAATGAACTGGTTTTGTTGGAACCGTTGGTCCTTTCAGTTTTTGTAGTAAAACCGACTGCTGCTCCATCAGAACAGCCTCCACCAGTCCAGCGGGTCTCATCCAAGGCCTCCAAGGTAGGTGGTGTTAATGTGTGCAGTGAATACTTGGATATGGGTGGGGCTTTAAGGGGTGGGGTGGGCGTTTGGATCTCTAAGTATACCAAAGAGTACACTAGGCCCACGCAGCGTCCGTGCGTGGCTGCTCATCGTTGTCTTTTGCTTTAAGGGAGGAAATGGGAAGAAAAAGACCAGAACGTTAACTGGCAGCGCTGGAAGCCTCAGGTGAGGTTGGGTGGAGGGTGGTGGTGGGTGGTGGACTCGGTGTGCCCAGCTTTCTGCAGGCCCTGACGTCGCTGTTGGTTTCTACAGGGCTTCCTCACTTGCTCTCAAACGAACACAAAGCCTCCTGGACAAGAACAATGAGCAGACTGTAAGGACCAAACCTAGACTCAGGTGTGTCGCTGCCTTCAGAAGGGCAGGATCTTGTAACGGAGACTTTGCTTGACTTAACCTGTGATGTTTACTTCATTACTAAGGACAGGTTGTGTTAATCTTGGTGTTCCAGGTCAGTGTCTGCTGGTGATCTGCACTGTGCAATGCCAGGCTCTGCTGCACACATCACTGTCACCACCGCACAGGGACAGGTAAACCCTGGATGTGGCCAAGCCTTGGAAGACATTTGACTAAAGCCCTGGAGGAGACTGTCCACATTGCATTGATTATAGTTTTGTCAAATGCACATCTGGCTTTACTGGAAACGGTTTAAAACTGGACTGAATTGTTTTCAGGTGTCTTCTCTTCCTCTCTTGTAGGCTGTGTGCTTTTCTGAAGAGACCAAGGATGAGATCAACTTGGACTTGCTAGATGATGTTGCATGGTGCCAGATTCAGCAGCTCAAGGTAATCAGTGCTCATTTTTTACATTTCTTGAATGTCTGTCATTACAGGTCACTGAGAAAAGGCACTTGACAAAAGCATTTAATTCTGAAACACTGCTCCATCTTTCAGAATCTGATGGAACATCTGTCCAGGCGAAGCCGCAGCCAGCGATGAGTGAAGAATGCCTCATCACCAGAATGTGTGTTGGCTGTCTTGTTTTTAAAAAGTAATAAAGTATGTTATTCGGTGTAGAATGTCTAAAGTCTGACCAGTAGTTCCACAATCAGTGAGCCATGTGTAAAGCTGTGACCAGTAAACAAATGAGTTTTAAATACATCTAGCACAAATACAAGAGTCCTGGACTAAATCCTCCTTCCTGAAGGTGTTGATTGAACTGTGTGATAAGTCTTAATATCATCAAGGCTAAATAAACTCCAGCATGAGTAGGTGCAAAGTTTATGTAGAGACAAGCACATGATACATTGACAGAGGTTCCTGAAGTGATTGGAGCAAAAACTTTATTTTTGAAGTATAAAATAGCATAAACCATGGAGCTACATCAGCGCTCTACATCCTGTCTTCATCTCTGTTGGGAACCTAGTGACTCCATCTCTACCTCCATGGGCTCCTGCTGCTCTCGGTGTAGCTGTGTGGAGGCAGAGCTGGAGGACGGAGTAGCAGGAGTCTGCTCAGGAGGCATGCGGGGGTAGAAGGGACCCACCAGCCAGTTGAGCGGCGTGTTGTTGACCAA